GCACTCGCCGCCACACTAATCAGTAATCGTTGCCGGGAAGGGAGGCTGCGTCGCTCCCGCCCGCGCCCCGCCGCGCTCCGCACGCCCCGCGACACCCCGCTCTCACAACCCCCGCTCGGCGCGTATACTAAGTATAGGAGACATTCAATTAGGTACAAAATGAACTTCTTTGTTTGCTTCCTAGTTAACTTTTCTTTACATTAATATTTTACACGTTTCACAAATTTAAGTCTTATATAAATTTGAAATAGGCAAAGAGATTGATAAATTTGAATAGTCTCAAATTTTCTAAATCTGCCGCATAGGTAACTGAGATTGACTAATGGAGAAGAGAAAATACTCCTCTTAGAACAGTTTACTAGTTCAGAATATATACCAAGATTCAATATCAGATTCGAATCAAGATCACTTACATCGGATATTAAACGATCCAACTGTTGTAAACAGAACGGTATTATTTACTTATCGCTTCTGCGTGTTTAACCTTTCACCGCATACTCCGTGGTCGAGGATAAGAGGAGCCGAATTTTCAGGGGTGACAAACTTCTATTAAATATTCATTCGTGGATTGTAAATTAGCAAATTCGACGAGTTAACAGAGCCATGATAGGCGATAACGCCGGGAAGGGACCGACTGTTGGCGAATTAATTGTCCGTGTGGGGATTGACTTAAAGATATTAAGGTCAAGGTATAAGAGAAACCTAGGTATTTGTGTCTATGTGTGGTAAAACATACTTTAAATAGTTTTTACGAGAACATTGTAAATGTTGCAGTAGTTAAAGATGACTCCTGACATATTTAAAGAAGTCAAAATATAAAATATTTCATCTTTTTCTTATTTTATTTTTTACTTCGGGAGTTTTATAAAGCAGTAATAGTAAAAGAAATTATTCAGCATAATTTTTCGAACTAAACATACATTGTTTTCTAGTATTAAAAGTTTTAAAATAAGAATTCGAAAGTTGCTGATTTCATTTATTTTGTCCCGCGACCCTGAATTCCGCGCGTGCGCGTTCGTCTCACATCAAGTGGCGATCTTAACTCCAGAGTCCCGACCATCTTTTAAAATGCAACGACTACTGCTGTGAGCTGCGCGCGGTCAGGAAATTAAAATGGTGCATAAATAAAATGTTTTTATACATTTAACGATATTGTTTTAATAAAAGAACACAGACAGAGTTCGAGAACTAATCTAGAAATAATTAAAAGTAACTAGTACGAAGGATTGAAATCTGAATGAAATGCGATGTTAAGATAAGTGCTACTCGTATATTACGACATAAAGGTTAATTCAGTAGAAACCGCTTGTTTTGGTGAAAAAGATGATACGAACAGAATAATAGATATCTAAGATCAGCTTAAAACTATTCCTGTTATAATTGTTTTGTATTTGTAATTGCTTATTCTAAAAAGCTATTCGTTAATTTACTTTACAACCTTTTGCTTCGACTCCGTTCGCATGGAAATAAAAAGAAAACTTTGCATTTGTGTTTTTCTACACGATGATCTATGCTATGCTTTCATCGATATCTATTGAGGAGTTCAGAAGAAAACAAACATCCACTCATGTAAAATTTTGCATTATAATATTATTAATTAAAACCAATTTTGGTAATGTCAACGAAAAAAAAAAACGATTTGACTGAACATGAAGTATCATTATCAACCTGCCCATGTCCTTATGGAGGGTCGGCATAGTAGGTGCTGCTACATACATCTCTATCAGCCGTAATATCTGAACCCAGTCCCTTCTTAAGCATATCCTTTTTCACACAAACCATCCATACTTTCTGTATATTTACTAGCTGGTTCCGTGCGACTTCATCCGCATGAAGTTATAAAAACTTTATTTTATTATTTACATTTGTCAAATTCTCAATCCCAAATGTCAAAATTCAAACGCACAATTAACAACGAAGGCTATTGACAAAGGATACCAATTATCGTACCGTGGTAATCTTGCGTCCTTGATGTTGGCAGCTTGTAGTTTAGCGTCCCTTTCACATGAAGGTATTTTTCCAATTTATATACCAGGTAAGTTAAATACCGTAAAAATATATACCCTAAAGCGTGTCGGCAGTGTAGGCCTTTTTAAAGATGTATTTTAAAAATATTCTGTGATTGCTGACAAACTACGCCACGAAGTAGTGTGTGTTTACGTTTTATTACATTAATATAGTTTTATATAAAGTAGTATATTTTTTGTTATTTTCTCCCGAGTAACGTTAGTCATTAGTGCCAGCAAAAAATGTCAGTTAGGACGCCATCTGCATAATACTTTCCACGATCCAGCGCTAGAGTAAATTTAATTAAGACCTCCGGCTACCAAGACGTTTAAAACTCATAAGTAGTTAAAGTTAAAAATAAATAAAACCTGCAGCTGAGATAATTAGTCAAAATTTGATGTAAATTTAATGTTTATGCCTTTTTATAAATAGCAAAATCCAAAGAGGTCAGCAAATAAGAACAAAAAAAGAACATATTATTCTAATTGATTAGTTCAAACTTTAAAAGCAAGACACATTTTTTAGCCAGAATTTCTAGGTCCTAGGCGGTGTCCGAACAACTTGTAACCATTCGATGGTACTCATGGTTAGTCAGAAAATGAGGTTCAGAACTACGTAACTTGAGCTTACTCCTTTGAAACGTATTTTAACCTAATACTAATCAATCACTAGGTAATAATGAAATAAATGGGACCTTAAGAAATCCAGCAGTAATCGTACATCGATAGGTTGTCTGGTGATAAACTTGAATCCAAGCATCAAAATTTCCAACTGACAATTTTGAGGACACTGTAGCCAGTTTCCCCGCAATGTCGCCAATGGCCCAGTGGGGGGAGGGGGATGTATTGTTATGTCAGGTGAGTGCAGACAGGTCGGGGCCTATTCTACGCTACAGGACTACGCTCGTCAAAAAGAGTATGATTGTACAAGCTTCTATAGATTCACGTTTTTACAGTGACACGAATTCATTCGGGTCGCAGGCTCTCTGTCATTCTGCATTGTGATTTGTGAATTTTATATTACAATGTGCTACTCTTATACGTTTTTTAATATTGGAAAATGTAAAAAATTGCTTAGTGTAAAGTAATACAGTTTTCATTATTATATTATTTTTTTTATAAAGTTGATAAGTTTAAATTTAATTTAATTCGGGAAAAACGCTAATATTACAATGATATAAGGTAGTAATTTATTTCATCATCAGTAAATTACTTCCGCATCCAACATGAATGCAAGACATGCGGTTTTTCATAATGAAATTTTTAAAGTAGGCCAAAGTAGGATAAAACAGGACTTTTTTATCAATAGATTTTTTGTAACGGTGCAAATTTTTGTAATTACAACTTTCCATAAAACGTAGAATATTAAAACTCAAATAAATGTTTTCTTTTGTAATGTTACTCTAGAATTTAAATTTGTATTATGTAGCTACTTCGAACTCTATCACTGTTGAGATTTGTACGGACTGAGTCGCGGACAAAAGCATATATATACGGGTCTGGAACTTCTCTGGCTTTGTTATACAGAGCATATATAGTCAGATATAAGTACCTACTAATTTTATTGACATTCGTAATGTGGTAAATCCTTATCCTCGATGATGGCTGCTCAAATCAATTCTGCAATACATGCGTCTCCTCTAGTTAACATAATAGTTGCTACAGTTAGCACATCATAGAGACCTTATCGATGTAACTAGGTAGTTATATAAGTACATAGTATTGGTGAACGCAATCCGCGTGCCGACCCTGCACTAGATGGTGCGATGACCTTTCCCACTTGGCGGCAAGTCGATGAACGAAGCGGATTGGAATCATGCGGAAAAAAACTTTAAAATCATCTACGTTATTTATAACTTCGTCTATCGTTGCTAAAACATATCTAGACAATAATATTGTAAGCGGGCAAAATGTTTGTGCCCGACTTCAAAAAGAAGGTTCTCAATTCTTCTGTTTGTATTCAACGAATGTTTGATATGAACGCTTATTAATAAAGGTCATATACAGAAACGAAAGATTTGTATTTTACGTATTGAAATAACTCCTATACTACTGGGCCGATTTAAAAAACTCATTCATCATTACAAAGCTACGTTCTGTCTGAGTAACATAAGCTATGTTTATCAATTTCACGTAGACGAAGTTGCGAACAATAGCTAGTTTTAAATACTTCACTTAGTCTTTAAAATTTGTAAGGAATTAGGTGTGGTTTTATAAGGCCGATAATGCCACAATCATAGTCAACTAATGACGTCTCTTTGGGTAAATTGGTATTAAAAAGCAGCACTAAGGTACTGGGTTTAGTAACTGTTGGCGATGTAATTAGCCTCTTTGATAAATTTTTACTTTTTATAGTTTTTTAAAATTCGAATTTACATTTAAATTTTTTTCTTTTTGTAAATAATCTTTCATTCTTCAATAAATTCTTACAACCGTTGCTAGGCTGTTTATATATCATTTTCTCTTTTTTTATATCGTTTTTATCGATTTTCTTTTGTTTTTATTTTAATTAGACTTCCTTATACTCTCCGCGCGCTTTCCTTCCTATTTCGCATCCTTTTCAGTAACTATTATATTTTTGTGATGTGATAGTCTTGACAAAGATTGCTTCGAAAACACATTAGTAAATACAGAAAGAAAATGCCCATTACCAATCGACGTTTAAATAAAAGTTTATTTTCACAAAAAAATAGGTAATGGATCTTTGCTCGGAGGAAATTTACACTTCTTATAAATGGTCTGTCATTTAAATGAGATACTTTAGGGAGGCTGAAGTATGAATACAAAATATTCCTTGAGTTATTTCAAAAGTTTTAAATCTTATTCGGTATCTACGTAAAGAAGCCGATGGAGTATTATATCAATGGACAGTCTGAACTGGTATAACGGCCGAATACTAAAACGATATTT